TCGTCCTATTGGTTCCGCGGAGGGGAACAAAGAGGGGCGAGGGAGGACAAATTGGGAACGACAGTCGGCGAATCTTGCGGGTAAGTTGTCGGGAAACTCGTCGGCCGATTTGCATGGGATATCGCGCGGTTATTTCGATCGTTGCTCTAACTGTCGTCGCGAGAGCGAGAGAGAGAGAGAGAGAGGGAGAGGAGGGGAGGGGAGAAAATACTCATCGTCGAGAGTTTTAGTACATCGTAATAAATAATATCAAACGGATACATGCAGAAAACGAGGGCTTCTAGAAGGAGGAATTAATACGCGTCCTCGTAGGGTATTTCGATGCGCACTCATTGGCGGTATTTTTGCGCGGCGTGTAAACGCTACTTTTAATTATTCCGCGATCTTTATTAAACAAGTAATTATCGACCTTAGCGATTTCATGACGATTTTCAGCTTTGCCGTTTGTGCGGCATATATTCGCGGTGTCGCGATCGTCCTAATTGGCGTTTCATTAAATGACGCCGATGGGCGGCCGATATAATTCTGTCGAGTCGCACGGCGCTCGAGAGCGCGACTCGCTCGCGAATCGCAGATTACAGCGACCGACGAAGAAGCGACAAAGACCAAAAAAGGCTGCACGCCGCACGGGCGCGGCTATTGCGCCGAAAACGGCTAATGACGTCGCTAGCGCGCTCGCGACAATGGCGAGAACTCGCCGCGGAGATCCTCGATTCAATTCATTAAAAATCTCAGCCGGCGGGCGGCGCGCCGTCGAGAGCAGAGGATGCGCAAGCGGGGCAGGGGCGAGGGGAGGGAGACACGGGTAGACGACCAGGTGTGTTCACCTGGTCGTCGATTTACGAAAGCGCGCGTATGCTCCACCACCTGGACCGGTTCCTCCAGGACGCTCTTTCCGGTCGCTCTCCTCTTCCGTTGTCGTAGCCGGTGAAGCAGAAAGGAGAAGAAGGGTGTCTCAAGCAGGCGCAAAGCCGACAGCGAGTTTCTCCTCTCGCCGGTCGGGAGAGCGAGGGAGAAGCAAACTTTCACGACGCGTTCTCTCACTAGTTCTTCCTCAAACGTGGTGGAGGAAAAGAAGAAGAAAGAGAGGAAGAAGACGTAACGCGTGTATTTTTCCTTCTTGCACGCACATTCGCGCGCGAATGTTTTAAGCTAGTCTTTTTCTGCGCGTTTTTTTCTCTCGAGCGGGAGAAAAGGAGATCGGAGACGGCTCGTCGGTGTTCCTCTTTTTTCTAGTTATCTCGTGGAGCGGGATATCTCTTTTTCGCGTTAAACCGCGTCTACGGCGCATCTGGAGCGAGGCTTACCTGCGATATCCGTTTTTGCGACTTCCCGGTTATACGGTGAATTTGTGTTCCGATTGAAATCCGACGGGCGTCAGGGCTTCGAGAGGAAACGTCGAGCTCGCGAGAACTCGAACACAATTACTTTGGCCTTCGGGGACGCTTTAGATATTTAATTTCTCCCGTGGATGTCGCGCTTCAACAGAGATTTTGATTAAAATTTTATTATACGGCCATCGGGTTGTGCTCGGTTGTATAATTGCGAATATTACCGACGACGATTCACCGTTCCACTTTTCTCAAAAAGAATCTCTATCGAGGGATTGATCGTTGCGACGCTTTCGAAATATCAATTTGTATGTGTCGCGACGTACAGCCGACACACCGACGCGACGCGCAAACTTTTCCGGCGAGTTCGACTTCTTCGAGATGTTTTTCGCTCGTCAACTTGGCTGTTGGCCGAACGAGAAGAAAAGAAGGAGAAACGATTCAAACCAGGTGCGAAGGCTGCTGCGAGAGACTCGAGCGAGAGTGAAAGACAGAGAGGGAGAGGGAGAGAGAGAGAGAGAGAGAGAGAGAGAAAGAGAGAGAGAGAGAGAGAGACAGGAACGTACGACGCGCCGTGAAACTTCTCGCGTTCACGTGGAAGCCGTTTTGGTCGAAGGAGTCAAAGGTGATAGGGGTCCGGCGAGGGTACGAAATGCTAATAAGCCGTCTATTGTATTCGAATGCGATATTATGTCGGTCGCGCGTTCCTTTTCCTGCGGACGCGCGAGTAAAAGATTTCGTCGCGCGGACTAGCGATTTCTTCGTCTTCGTCTTCCTCCTTTTCTTGCTGCTCTTTTACTTCTTTCAAAACGAAGTGAGGGACAGGAGGGGGGCCCATCTCCGCGTCTCTTCTTTCTCCGTCTTATTTGAAATTATAATCCGGCCGGAAGTGTTTTATAAGTGCATGAGAAACGCGCGAGGTGGTCGCCTCGCCGTGCGCACGCGCGCTTCTAATATATTTATCCACTTAATCCTCGAGCTAGATGTATCTTTTAATAATCGCGGCGAATGAAAAAAATCCCAAAGCAGAGAGGGGATATAAGTCGCAATTATGAACTTTGCGCGGCCGAGAGTCGGCGTTGCGAGGACTCGCCGGGACGGGCGAATGAAAAATTGAGCGCGCGCGCACATGTGTAAAAAATTCGCGCTCGTGCGTTTGCGCCGAATTGCGCAATTGGGAGCTTAATTCGCGCACACCGACGTGCACGATATAATTTGTCGTGCTTTTTTTCCCTTTTATTTCGTTGTTATTGCCTTTTCTTTTTATAAACATTCGTTCGCCCGAACGTCCTGGGATTTTTCGCCTCTCTCACGCGCTCAAGCGATATTTTCTTATTCGAAACAAAGCGCGTGCCTTTAGATATTTGATAAAGCGGCAGTAATTTTGCTACCGCCGCCGCGTCGCCGCCGCGTTTATTCTCCCGACGAAATCTCGTCGGTTTGACGCTTTAGTTCCCGCGGAATATTTTCCGCACGCATACTTCAACTTCGCGTGTGGTCGTTTTAAAAGTTTCAAAATGGAAAACGTTTGTCGCGCGCGAGCGAAACGAATTCCTTGTCTCTTTGTGAGCGTGTGTTTTGTGTGCGCGCGCGCACGCGAGCGAGCGACGGTCGACGGTTAGCGACGAATTATAAAACGTTAAAACTGTCGGACTATAAATCTCGATTATATCGTTCATCCAGGGCCGTCGGCTTCGCAAGAGAGCTATTGATTTCCCACTACGACGTGCAAGGCATGCTCTTTTTCTCGCAAAAATATTTCGCGAGCGACGGAAAGAGTTAGAGAAGGGGAGGAGGGACGCGATGGGAAGGAAAAAAAAGCGACAACGCGGCGACCGAGCGACGATAACTCAAGATTAAATATGAATAATAGCTGCCAGTTAATCGACACCGTTCAATTACCTCAGCCGGGGATGTGTGTTACGCGCGCGAGACGCACAATGGCGGTGACGTTTCACTGTTTCGCGCAACACCGCGCGGCAAAATTTAATTACCACAAATAAATATTTATATGCTCCGCCTGGCTGATGATAAAATTCCGATGTTGTATTACGCGCTGCAATTTTAATTGCCACGCGTTGTCTCTCTCTCTCTCTCTCTCTCTCTCTTTCTCTCTCCCTCTGCTCTTCCTCTTGCTTCTTCTCCTGCTCTTTCTTGTTTTATCGCGAGGATCCATCCTGCTTATTTACTCGTACATACTTATACTTTTAAGGAAATATAAAAAGCGGAGGCACCGCACAATAACGTAACATCCGAGTTTTTCGTATCCTTAACCCCGGCGAGCGCGAGAGAATTCTCTCGTAGACAAACAAGTGACGGCGATGCGCTCGAGGCTTCTCTTTCGTCTACCGAGAATTATATAGAATTATGTATTTTGCTCAAGTTGGAACTGGAACGGAATAAAACGAATATCTTTGGAAATATTTCGCTGAGAAAGGGAAAGAGAGAGAGAGAGAGGAGCGGGAGAATTACATGTACAACAGCAAGTTCGGAGGACAATGTCTTTCTTTAAATACTCTGGAAATTATCTCGAAATTACCTCGAGTGAAATAGCAGACGAAAAGCAGAGTCACTCGGAATTGAGGGATTTGATTGCGCTACGCCGTCGGAGGAATCAAAATTCACTTTGGCCGTGCTTACTCGACTTAGGAACTCTCTCTTTAAGTTTAAATATTTTTTCATCTCTTGTGATTTCGAGTAATACTTTCGTCATCGTTTCGAGCGAATGTCCAGCCTTCCCCGTGTGAGATATACGCCGAGAAATTAAAAGAAAAAAAAGAATTGAGATCCGAAGACAAAATACGAAAACCGTATCGTCGCGGGGAGACGCCGGGTCAGCCCTCCGACGTTCGCGATCGAAGGAGAGGCGGTAGAACGGAGCCTGCAAAACTCGGGACCGCGGCGCACAGGCTGTCTCTCTCATCCTCGCTTCCTCGGGATTAATAAAAATAGCCCTGGCGGCTGGCCCGCTGCCTGCCTCGTTCGATCGGCGGCGGCGACGGCGGCGGCGGCGGCGGCGGCGGCGGTGCGAGTCGTGCGAGCGGATTAGGCGATACGAGCCGGACGATGCGATTACAAATGTAAATGCTCCGCGACCAGACGTTCCACTCCTACGTTGGCTTGACCCTATATCTTTGTTCGTCGCTGACCCCGCCATGCGTATGCGCGTGTTTTCTCTGGCATGCTCGATATTGTCGGCTATGTCAGCGACGCTCGAATCGTAACCGGGCCGGGCCGGCCGGCTCGGCCGGCTACTTTCGAGAATTAATGCAATTAATGCGCCGACTTACCGGCCGGATATTAGCTCGCGCGCTGTCTCCATCACCGAGGAGGATCATCGAGCGTGGCCCGGGCCGATGTATGTAAATTAGGCGCGGGACAGCATCGTGTGAACATTACACAAACCCCGCTGACCCAAAAGCGGCCGATTTGCATGAGTGCATATGAATACACCGGGTGAGTCGCTCGTGACTCTGGGAAATTTTTGCCGATTCGTCGCCGTGAGAGCTCGTCGTCGTCTCCGCGCTCGTTTTCATATTCAGCGCGACGCGCTCGCGCTCTCGCGGCTTCTTAAGCATGGCTGCGAACTTCTTTGTGCGAAACGCGAGCCTGCGCGCGGCGCCACGTATATTTTGCAAAAATAACGGCTTGTATATCAATTTACATTACCCGCGGCGAGTTGTTCCCTCGATACGACGCCCGCGTAGCCGCCGTACTCGCTGGGATTGCGCGAGAAGTTTCTGTGATATCCATTCCCCGCAGTCGCCTCCGTAGACGGGCAAAACGGTTATTGAAAATGCCTGAAAGAAGGAAGATGCGGCTGAGATTAAAGAAATCCCGAGGATGCTGCAACATCCGCAGAGTACACGCGGCATTGCGAGCGAGTCGCGAAATCGCGCATCTCTCTCTCTCTCTCTCTCTCTCTCTCTCTCTCTCTCTCTCTCTCTCTCTCTCTCACTGTCGGCTCTTGCGTAATTATTATTAGCATAATCCTCGTTTCGCAATCAAACTCTTCGCGCACAGCTGTCACTCCGAGAGACTCCTTCGTTCTCATAAAGCCCGGTTGTCGCAGACGGATAAGAGGGCGATAGAGAGAGAAATATAGAGAAGGAGAGAGGGAGAGAGAGAGAGAGGGGGGAGGCAGGGGGCGCGAGATCGATTATTGTCATCGCGGGCGAGGAGGAGGCGCCTTTGACTGAAAACGATGTCAAGCCGTTACATCATTTTTATTCATGCCGTTCATTACAGCCGCGATATAGCGGTACCCTCGTCGAGAGCGCGCAATTAACGATACCGCGAATTGCAATTGGCAAGTAAGTAGCACTATAGCGGCGGTATATGGTAACAGTAATGGTGGTGCAATGGTGGCGCGGCGGTGTGCGCGCGGCCGAAAGAAGCGCTTCGCCTCACTGCGGAAAGAATTAACTGGCGAACTGCAGTTAACGTTTCAGCGCAGGGTGCGCGGTAGTTAAGAATAATACATAATACCTGGCTTTCCTCTCTCTCTCTCTCTCTCTCTCTCTCTCGCTCTCTCTCTCGCTCTCGCTCTCGCTCTCACTCTCGCTCTCTCTCTTTTGTCCCTGCCGCACTCGCAGAGCTACGTACCGGCGGCGGCGGCGTATGCGGCAGAACGCGAAATCACTTACGTAAGAACGGCTTAATTAAAATTGATAAACAGCCGGCGAGCGCAGCCGCGGCGGGTAACTTCGTTATGGCGAGAAGTTTCCTTTAATTCGCCAATTAATGCGTGATTCGTGTGCTTCCGCTCCGCTATCGCACGCCCCGGATATATATTCGGCGCTGCTCTCTCGCTCCGCCGCCCGCCGCCCGCCTGCCTCTCTCGCACTTTCTTTCTCTCTTTCGAAAGACATAAATCCCCCTGCAACGGACGCGATAATAATTACCGCTTATCGATAATTCGCTCGCGCTCAGCCGGCGACTTCCTTCGGCGCGCGTGACGTTCAAAACTGAGAATTTATTATTTCGGCACTGTGACATCGAAAAGATCGAACTATGGGAAGCTCTATCGACCTTTCCATTTGTGCGCGTTAATTTCTTTAATCGCATTTCCTCGTGATATTTGTGAGCGTGATCCGTCCGATGTGCTCTTTCCAAACGTTCGCTTATCCGTTATTACAAGCCCCGAAATGGAAGCAGCTTACAGAATGTCTCAAATTATCTGTATTGAATATCTTTATAACCCTCCCCCCTCCCCGAACCCTCGAATCTTGAAATATACGATGCTCGAGAGCGCGTTGCGTGGTATTTTTGCGGGAGATATTTCTGCGTCGCGAGATGGACGCGACGCACCCTCGAATTTACAAGCGTGCGGATCTTCCTCTCGTTCGCGCAGAACGCGAGTACGCCCCAAGTTGCGTCGCGAACCGCGTCGAGACTTTTTTGCGGACGTGGTCGGCGAGTAAAAAAGCTCGTCGAATAATCTTATTAACCGAAGTATATCCGATCGTTTAAAGTCGAGACCGTGCGGTCTCGCTATCTCGTCGAATTGCTTCTGTTTCCTCCCATCCCTTTTCCCGGCCGCTTCCTCTCCCCCCCCCCTCCCGCGACCCTTCTCTCCTTGGGCAACGTCGTCGTTTTGCATACTCGAACGGACCCCGGGAGTGTTCCCGAATCCATTAACCGACGGTGCGGGTCAAGTTTACTCAAGACCACAGCCTCGCCGTGGATCTGCCAAGAAAGCAAAAAGCTTTATTAGACAGTGACAAAGTGAGAACGTCGCTGCGCGCGGCGGAATCATAATGAGGAGCCGAGAGCAAGAGAGAAAGAGAAAGAGAGAGAGGTGGCGGTCGGCCGGCGGATCGCGGCGAAAAATCGCGTCTCCGTTTCGCGAGCAGATCCGTCGAGGATTACAGTTTCCCCGGCGAGAGGAATTCGGGGCGACTTTCGCTCGAGTCGGCTCGACTTGCTTTTCCAACGGGGACACGAGCCGGTCGTTTTTTCGATATCAAGCGGCACGTAGTCGTTCCCGAGAGCGCGAGTTACCGCACGGGCGATCGCGCGTCTTCGCGGGCATAATTGTAAGGCGCGTGACAATACGCGGACGCGGGCGATTGTGGGTGAAACAAGCGGCGTGTAAAGTGAGAACTTGACGAGTACTCGTCGCGGCGAAATTCAGCTTCGAGATAGCGCCCGCTGCGGGCTGCTGCCGCTGTTCTTCCATGTAGTTTACTCGGGACTCGGTATTATGCGCGAAAGATCCCGGCAAACCGCGTCATGCCGCGCCGCGCCGCGCCGCGCCGCGTCGCGCCGCGCTGCGTCGAGTATCTCGACGTCGCGAGCGACATCGATATACGGGATGGCTAACGAGGCATTTCAAAGCGCGATTGTCTACATCAAAGTTGCACGATAAGGATCAAAGTTCTATCGAGAGTCACCCCGCCACCCGCGGCCCCCCTCATCCGCGCGCACTCCGTTGTCGCGCGGCGTGTCTCTCTCGTTCTCCGTCGCGACGGCGCATACAAAATTACTCGGCATTGTCTCTCTCTCTTGCCGAGGCAATGGCTGGTGATTATCACCGGCGTTACTCCCCGCGTTACTATCCTGAGAAAAGTTTAAAGTAGAAAGTCTCCGCCCGCCGCCGCCGCGTTGTCTGTCCCGTCCATAAAGAGGGAGGCAAAAACGAAACACGTTAAATTACAGATCGCCACGACCCCTGTGAATTAATTTCTTCGTATAAATTCTCGGATATGAATGGTATCTCCTTATAATCGAAATAAGAAATAAGAATAATAATCCCGCTTTTCTCGCTGAGATTTGCGAGGGAGAAATTTCTCTCTCTCTCTCTCTCTCTCTCTCTCTCTCTCTCGTGAAGCAGAAGACGCGATTTTCAGGATCTTGTCTCCTCGCTATCATCCTCCGCTTCGTCTTCTTTATTTCTCTCTTTATCTTTCTCGAACAGACCGCCGCGAGCGCAAATGCAAATCCGTCGGCCAGTAGTGACCGATGAACGTATCTTTTCGCCTCGCCCCTTGCCGTCAAGTCCTTCCTTGACCGTAGCAATCGCGCGGAAGCGCTTCCGCCGCGTCGCGCAGGACCGCCGTCGTTGGATCGCCGATCATGCGACAACCACCACAGCAAAGTCAATGTTTTCGGAAAGGATGGACATGAAGATGGAGTGGCCGCGGGACGGACGAAGACGGAAACGTAGGGCAGAGATAGAAGCAGTTACCATGACGACCATGGAGAGGAAACAGCAGATCGCGGCGAACCGGAGGCTGAAGCGAAAGAGCCGAGTGGAGAAGAGAGAAAGAGGGGTGAATGAAAAGCTACGACACGTGGGGTGAACCGAGGCTGAGAGAGAGAGAGAGAGAGAGAGAGAGAGAGAGAGAGAGAGAGAGAGAGAGAGAGAGAACGAAAGAGAAGTTACGATCCGAGGGATGCAAAGCGAAAGAACGGAGAAAAAAGGGAGAAAGGGAGACAAGACTCGGGAGAGAGCAAATGAGAAGATACGAGTCGGAGCGGACAGAGGAGGAGAATACCGGGAGGAAGAGAGCGAGAGAGAAAAAAGAAGAAAGAAAGAAGCGGGAGTCGGCGAGACAACTGCGCGACGACAGTATAAGGGAGGTTTATGAATGCCGAAAGGGACGGTGGGAAAGTAGGCAAATGATGTGAGAGCTACGAGAGAGAAAGGAAGAGAAATAAGAAAGAGGGAGAAGGAAAATGGAAGACAGAGAGAAAGAGAGTGCGAGCGAGGAGGACAAGAAAATCTGAGGTAGGAGGAGGGTAAGTAAGCACGACGACGAGGAGATACGACACGCCGGGAAGACGCCGAGGGAAAATATTATTCGGATTACGCTTTTCGGTTGCGCATGCCAGAACGGATCAAGATCGACTTCAAAGGATCGCTCGAGAGAACCGACGGATCATCCACTTTCGGGATTTCATTCTTCCGGGAATCGGCGTGACTCGCGAGGCGTCCCCCAGCCGAGATTTCGCGGCTCGGCGTTGCATTCGGCCGCGGGACGAATGCAACGCCGAGAACAGGAGGAAATAATAAGCCGAACCTCGCGACGACGTTATCTCTTATTGCCAAGAGTGAGACTCCCGCGGCAGGAAATTGTTCATTTCAACCCTTTCGTCCTTTCTATCTTTCTCTCGCCTGCCTGCTCCTCCGTCCCCCCCCCCCTTTCCGAAATATGTAGACCGAGACTCACGCCAAGAAGATGTACGCGCGCGCGCGAGAGGCTAGACTGAGACGGACGTATATAGACGTATATAGCGGGGAGAAGGACGACCGTCGAAAAACGGGACACGGCTAGGAACAGCGGGAAAGGGGTCGCGCGCGGGGTTGTGAACGGCAGGGGGTCGGGAACGGCTGACTGGGAAAACTATTACTCTCTCTCCCGATCCTCCCCCGTCGTCTTCGCCCCCTTCGCTACCCGTCGACCCGGAGGGCTTGAGCTCCGAGTGATGTTAATTGCGCTGCTACCGCCAGCAGGCAATATGTATTCGAGGAACGCTCAAACGTTCGAACGTGAAGACGACTCGCAAACGCCGCATATATCCGCATCTCCATTCCTCATCACCTCTCTCTCCCTCTCCCTCTCTTTCTCTCCGACAGTGTAAAGTCGGGAAAAGTAACGTCGTCCGGAAGAGCAAAGATCGCGACGATAAAGTGGACCGAACCTCTCTCCCTCTCTCCCTCTCTGTCTCTCTCCCTCTCTCTCTCTCTCTCTCTCTCTCACTCTCTCTGCTTCTTTCCTTCTCTCGCGATGGCAATATCGCAGGACGCGTTATGGATACGCGTGTCACGAGTCTCGATGGGTAGTCGTCGGCGCCA